TTAGGGAAGCGAATGGGATTAGAGAAAAATGCCATGTACTTTTGATAGTGTGCTTTAATTGTTCCATTTAATATATAAAAGTGATATAATTGATTTAAATTAATTGTCTCATTTTCTTTTGAAAAATACATTAAATATTATATTTTAATTTTACCTTTATTGCTAAATAGAGATGATATTAGAGGTTTTTTTTTAAAAAAAAAAATTGAAGTTGAGTTTTTTTAATTTGTGTTCTTATAACATAGTTTAAGAGTATTTTTTTAATCATAAATGCATATAAAAAGTTATAAAAATTGACATTAATTTTAATATTAATATTAAGTTAATAAACTTAATTAAATAATTAATAAATTAAAAATTATTTTTTACTTTTTTAATATAAATTTATAATATAACTATATATTTATTATACCATTAAATCATACTTTAAAGATATAAATTAAAAAAAACCATTCAAATTAAGTATTTCAATCAGAACAATAGAAAGATGAACACCGAAAATTGTAATAAGTGGTTTCACCCAAAAAAAAATTGTAATAAATGAAGTTTTTTTTTTTTTTTCTAATCATGAAGCATCAAAACAATTAAATTAAAAAAATATTTTTTTTTATTAATTAGTTCAATTAAAAGGTAGATTATTTATTCCAATGATACTATAAGAATTAGACCAACAATAATTTAGTTGAGTTTACCAACTAATTTAAATTTTGTAATTTTAGAGTCAAGACCACTTAACTCGTGATGTAAAAAAAATAAAGTAATATAAGATGAAAATTTGTAATCCGTGAATTTAAGGCACAAGTTAATAAAATATTTATTGTATTTTTTTATTATTAATTTATAAGAATAAATAAAAAATTTATTTTTTATGTTTATTTTTAGTAGATTTGGTTTGATTTTTTAATTTTTTAGACATGAATTTAAGATAAACATTTAATATATTTATAAATGATAATTAAAAATCTTTTTATCAAATAATAAAACTAGATAAAAACTTTATATAGAGAAAAATTTTCAATTGTTATTTATATAAATTATTAAAATTTTAACTAAAATTTATATCGACAAGGTTAAAAAATCAAATTAGGTTTATTAAAAATGAACAAAGAGAATATTAATTATTTAATTAAATTATTCCACGTGGCATTACTATTAAAAATAAAATTTGTTTTTGTAATTTTTAATACAAATTAATAGTAAAAATATATAATAAATGCATCATAAACCTGAAAACCTATAAAAGATGAGTTTTCTAATACGTGACTTTAAAACATATAGTTAATAAATGTAATTAATGTATTTTTTTATAATTAATTTGTGTAAAAAAGATAAGTATTGACTTTAAATTAATTAATTAAAATAATTTACACATCAATAATATTAAAATAAATTTTAATTTTTATATATTTTTATATAAATTAATTACAAAAAGATATTAAGTATTGACTTTAAATTAATTAATTAAAATAATTTACTCATCAATAATATTAAAATAAATTTTAATTTTTATATATTTTTATATAAATTAATTACAAAAAGATATAATTATTATACCTTTAATATGTATTTTTATCATATAAGTTAGATAAATCCATATAAGATTAGGAAATAATTATATAATTGTCAACTTATTAGAGAGTGTTTTTATTAAGGAGCTAATTCATTATGATTTTTTTTTTTGAACAATGTTGTTATGAAGTGGGCTAGAATCCATCAAAAAAAAAATTACTTCTCAAAGTAATCAGAGATCATTTAACCCTTCAGCCGAGTGCTAATACACTGTGATTGATTAACGCAAGTTGTTAATATATAGACAAATACATCACATCGAACGCGTCGTCTTGCTCATATCCTCTACTTTGAAGTTAAACTTATTTCATAACATTTAGAACATTTTTTTTTTTAATATACTCCAGCGTATTTCAATGAGTCAGGATGAAATTATACCAGTGTAATTTATATTATTACAATATATATTCACACCAAATAGAAAATAAATTAACCTTAGCTTATTATTATAGTTTTTTGGCCATATTATATTATAACTTTGCAAGACAAATTTTAAGTTTTACATAAATTATTACTCGTTTAGATACGTTAAAAATTAAAATAATATCATCATTCCAGTTTAGTCACTAGATTTAGAAATAAACGACTTTTAATTTGTAAGTAAGACCACTTGTGTGAATGTAAGAGCGAGCTGTGCTAGGGGCACTCGCCTCTTGCACTCTCCGGCCAACACTTCCCCTTTCATTGGGTCACGTAGCTAGTTTCAGGCTTTGAGTCCAACCTCTCACCGACCAGAATAACGTGGCCCAATAAAAGTGAAAGTGCTGGCCGGGAGAGTGCAGAAGGCTAGTGCCCCTAGCACTCCTCGTGTAAGTAAATCATACCTTTCTGAGCTTTTTTTTTTTTCACCAAAATAACTATTCATACCTCTCAAAAAAATTTTTTTGTATTAATCTTTTGGTATTTAATAATTATATTGAATTATAACTAATTTAAAATCGAATCACGTCATATCTTATAAAAAAAAACTCTTTTAGTAACTATTTTTTTTATTTATAAAACTTGAATTCAAAATTTTATTTAAAAGAAATCGAATTTCTTTTATTTAGATTTACAAGTTGTTGGTATATCTTTTTAAATTTAAAAAATAAGATTTTTTTTTTTGAACATTTTGACACGGGGCAAGTTCGAAACCCGTCCAGGGAGAGGGGAATGCACCTAACAAGCTGGCTAATGCCAATGAACCTAGAGGCCCAGGTGCAAAAAATAAGATCTTTTTATTTTATAGGACAAATTAAAAGTATATTAATTACACGTATAATATATGTTTTAAGAATATATGGTAAAAAAATTCAAAATAAATTAATAAGATGAAAATGCACTCGTTAAACTAAACAAAGAACAGGAAGTACTAAAAGTAGCCGTTAAAGAAAAACTTCAAAATTTATCCGTTATTAATTAATTTAATAAAGGAAGATAGAGGTGTGGGGACATGAGACAGCTTCTTAGGAGAGCGCATTCAAACGCGTATAAAGGGGGCCAGTAAGAAAATTGTTCAGAATAATGGAAGTTAAAGAGACGTTGTAAAGGATTGTGATGTCTGATGTCTTTGTTGTGCCGACCAATTGCTAAATCATATCTTCCTTTGTTTCGTATTATTATATTTTATAATTTGCTTTTTGATATATGATTAATTTTTGTATTAATCTAATAATAAATTATACAAAAAAATAATTCTCCTCAACCAACTAACGATATATTTGATGACTCTAAACTAATTAATTTTAGAATTATTATATATTTTATTTCTATATTATTTCATTATTGTTTTAAAAAATTAATAGTATATTTGGGTTGAAAGGAGTTAAATAAAGAAATTTTTTTTAATTAATTAAATTATAAGGTTTTTTAAATATAATAATTTAATTAATCAAAAAATCTTTTTCTTTTCTTTTATTTCTTTATTTTTCTCAACTTAAACATAGTATAAATATTCAAATATAAAATTTTTAATTTAAAATCTCATATTTTTAATGAGTTTTTTTATAAATATAATAATTTAATTGATCAAAAAATCTTTTTCTTTTCTTTTATTTCTTTATTTTTCTCAACTTAAACATAATATAAATATTCAAATATAAAATCTTTAATTTAAAGTCTTATATTTTTAATGAATTTTTTTATCTTGTGCCCGTATGACAAAGGATAATATGTAATAAATGTATTTTTTTATAATTAATTTTTATTAAAAATGTAAATATTGACTTTAATATAATTAATTAATTAAAGTTATGTGTTAACTTTTATAATTTTTATTGTGAATTAATTATAAAAAAATATATTTATTGCACTTTTAGACAAATCTAATCTTAATTAGTTAATTAGTCTCTCCATTACGCGTCCATGGTCAACTTTTCAGTTCTCAAAAAAATCAACTAATAAGTGATAAAAATCATAATAAAACCAAGATTAACTAGAAGCATTGAGTCTTTCATAATCTTTTTCTCTAATTTCAGTAATAGTAGATTAACTTTTTTTTATTAATCTAATGATAAGTTATACAATAAAAAAAAAAAACTCTCTTCACTTAATTAATAGTATGTTTGATAACTCTAAACTGACTATTTTTAAAATTGTAGTGTGTCATATTTTTATATTATCTTATTACTATTTAAAAAACTAATAGTTTGTTTGGATCGAGAGAATGAAAGAGAGAAAAAAAATTTAACTAATTAAATTATAAAATTTTTTAAATATTATAATTTAATTAATTAAAAAAATTTTTTCTCTTTTTTTTTATCCTTTTATTTTTTTCAATTAAAACATACTATAAACATTTAAATATAAAATTTTTAATTTAAAATTTCATATTTTTATCTAATTGAGCCTCAATTAGGCATTTATGATAAACTTTTCAGTTCTCCAAAAAA